AATTATAAAAACTTTATAACACATGGAGTGTGCATCACTGTTTTCTAGAATACACATAACACGTGTTGGATCATCGTTTTCCAGTTTGATTTGTTATGAATTTCGCGCAAAGCTATACGAGGGCTATCTGCGCTAGCCGTCCCTAATTTAGCAGTGATTGACTAGGGGAAGGGCTAGTCAACACAACCCACCGCCAACTCTTGGGCTATTCTTTTACCAACGTGTAGTATGATTGACCTTCACATTATAACGCCCCAATAGCTGAAAAGACAAGCATGTTCGATGTAACGGGGGGTTCGAACTCGTGACCCTCCGATTGCCAGTCGAGCGCCCAAACCACCAGCCCATGCAGTCCTTTCGTTTTCTAAAATACACCGTTTGGATCATCGTTTTTTACAGTATACAATGTAAAGAAACTGATTTTATTCTTTATCACACTTTTATGTGACTCGTGTTATTAGGAGCCTTTTACGAGTTATGGATACATAAACAATTGGGTACATAAATAGTTTAGAAAAATGTGTTAAAAAATCATGTGGATCCCATCTATTAATCTGGGTTTAGACATCGACAGCTTCAATAATATGCATACGAATCTGCTAAAATCTAGCTGTCATTCGGAGTCGTTAGGTGGCGCTGTAACTTATATAAAAGCTTTATAAATATACATCGCGTCCTGTGGAACAGGAAGTCGGGAAGGTAAAATGAAAATATAGACTAGATCAATGTAGTAAAGTAAACGGAATACTTGCATATCATGTTAAAAAAACTGTCAGCCTTTTTCTCTTCCTTATAGTTTTTAGCGTGGATCACCGTAGTTCTGCACATTATCCTGCTCTTATAATGGCTTGTCAGGCAGTCATTGTGAGTATTTCAAGTGTAGAGAACGACAGATGAAATAAATGCAGTAAAGAGAAGATGATACGGTTAGGTTGTTGTTAAGCTAAAAGCTACACAATGGGCTATCTGTGCTCTGTCCACCACGGGTATCAAAACCTGATTTTTAGCGTCGTGATGGTGCAGACTTCCTGCTGAGCCACTGGGCGGGGAATGGGGGCAGGTGATTCGGTATCGAGAAAAAAGCGGCACAAACCGAGTAAATTATTAATTTCCAAGAAACACGGTTTGACTTTCAAGATTCGTACGTTGTCACCCGTTTCAGTTGTCTTAATGATGGCGGTGCACGTGCCATGTAAAGAAACTGCGATTTTTGTTTTATTTGTTTGCTGTAAACCGAAACCAGAGGGAGGTGTGTGAAAAGCTCGTACATCGGCCCATTTTTAACGAAGCCTTCTATAATTCACGCCCGAAGCACAGACATTTAAACTTGCCCATCCCATAATCTCACTTTTCTTGCTTTCCAGCTTATATTTTTATGCTTTCTGCGTGACCGTGACTCTTTCATTGACTTTTGTACAAAATCTAAGAACGTTCCTTGCGGGTCTACGCATGTTATTATTTTCAGATTACATGAATATATATATTATACAGCTGAATAAGAAAGGATAAATTTAACCTGCCATCGTTGAATCTCTGTGGGAACAATGATTGTCAGAACTAACGTATACCAAAGGTTAAATGTACAATTTTTGTAAATTCAGCAAATTGAAATCATTAGTCCTTTTGAAAAGACGATGAAAAAATTCGGTCTCTCTTTCATCTACTACTGGCGGTATAGCTTTCAAACGTTTATCAAGCAGAAATGTCGGATGGATCGAACTGGCCAAAATACCGGATATAGATTTGGGCTGGAAGGTTTTGCCTACTATTTGTACGCTTTCAAGCAATGACGTTAACGACAGTGTAACGCAAGCGCGCTGAGTAATCTGTATTCACAGTGTGTAGGTGGTAGGTACATCGTGTGATCCCTTATGTAAGTATCACAATATGTTCTTTAAGAGAAATGTTCTTGTTAAAAGTACGAACTAAAGACTATCGTTACATCTTTATTTTTATGTATGCATTGGATCTCTGTGTATATTAAACCGCAGTCGTCTATCAATAGAGGGACGAGATATACGGACACCCTTCAGAATTGATGTTACATTTACATTGTTTAATGGTTACGTTTTGGAGGGTTTACAAAGTGGTATTTCCGAGGTTTTGTAGCCGGTACTTTTCTTGCCGTCAGAGATTCTGTATTCAACAGGAAACACTGGGTCAGTGTCATTAAAAAAATATAAATTAAAATCCTCTCCACCACATGAAGTTATCCACATAGCTTTTCGTACATGTAACAGTGTTATTTTTTTCTTTTATCTTCCGGATTGTTATTTCATTGAAATAACCAGAATAGTTTATCCTCAGAATAAGTAAGTTCTTATTTTCTCAGAACATCCTCTAGAGTGTCTGGGTTTTAACCTCGTCAGACTGTCCAGGTTATTTCTGTAGACAAACTCATGGTTATATATATGTAGTATACTGTATTTGACGTATGCACGAAAGAGGTGTGTTATGAGAAAAATGGTCGTTACAAATATACACGAGAAACACAGACTTCGCTTTCCAGCTGCATATATTACGTATGTTAGCAAGTGTACGTGATTCACAAGTATAGGATGGTAATCTTATGGGCTGTCACACTAGTCCTGAAAGGTTGAAGGTTGTTGTGTTATAATGATGTTTTGTGTACAGTCGTATAGATGGTGTGTGTGCATGTAACGTAGGTCATACCAAGTTCTGTCATTTCGTAAGGAGACGTCGTGTACTACGTGCACTAATGTGTTATGTATTACAGGTTGATTAAAAAATGCACTGGGCTTCAACCATGAATGCGATGAATTAAGAATTGTACGTTCAGAGAGAGATATCTTGATATCACAGCTGCAGAGAACGTCGCTCCGCTCATATACCGAGTGGAAATGTAGTACAGTTGAATATTTTCCGTGCTCGAGTCTGTTGACAAGGGACAAGTAAATAAGCTTAAGTTGGTATCATGCATGTCACTTATCATCTAGCTTCTTTGTAAGAAAAATCCGTCCTTTGTTGTACGTTAAACGAGTCTCAACTGTCCAAACGTTCCATTTAGGTATAGGAAATTAAACCTTTCATTGCTATGGTATGATAGAAGTTTGCCTTGCAACGGCTAAGTCGTATCACGTGTGTGTGTGAATATATATATATATATATACAGTTAAACTAGAAAGTAATTACAAACCTCCAGATTAGGGTTCAATATTGGCTTAACATCACAAAATTACTTACGCAGGTTTTAAGAAATACTAGTTTTAAATAATAGCAATTTTAGCCAAATTTTCACTTTGAACAATTTCAAAATGCATTTCAGTAACGAATGAGAAATATGACTATATAACGCTGTCACAGTACATGGTGCGCGCGAGCTCCCTCCGCGGCATTGTAACATGTACCTAAGATATAAACACTATTTTTAGGGTCAGAAAGAGTATTTTTTATATTTTAGTAATTTTTTTTTTTATATAACATGAATACATTTTTCTGTTGTCTCAAGCGGTGTTGTAAGAACAAACTTATTTTTACGATCCCATTGTTAGATTTCTTTGCGGATTTTTTGTATGTGATCGCATCATAGCCAAGATATTAGAATAAAAGATTCGATTCAACACTTGTAATTGAGTTATACCGGTTAAAATGATGGGGTGTATATTATATGTATGGTGTTTTGAAATGTCACACACCACAGTGAACCTGTATGTATATAGTATTTGAAGAATATTCATGATATTACAAAAATACGTAAGCTCAAGAAGTATTGATAGAAATGAATAAAAACATTATAACTCGAGCGCTTTCGAAAGGTGGACCTTTCTTCTTCAGGGTTATAGGGTATTTGAAGAATGTGTAGTGTTAATGACACTGATTGAGTCCTTCGAATTATCCACAAACAAGCTGTTTCAATATTATAAATAAATATGAAGCCAAATATACGTCCGTTGTTTTGGTTTAGCCGGTTTTGTTGGCGGTTGGTTACTAACTATAAGAAAGAGAAATGTCGATTTTGCACGTGCACGTGGTGACAACTGACTTGAACTTAAACGAGCACGGCTTGAGTTTGTTTCTTGTGTGTTCGACATATAAAACATCTTCAGTGCGAAAAACCTTGAGAATCTTCCATATCTCGGTGAAATGTATTAATTTATGTAATCTATTTCGCATTCTCGCGGGTTCGAATCCCCTTCCCACCAAACATGCTCGCCCTTTCAGCCGTGGAGGTGTTATAATGTAACGGTCAATCCCATTATTCGTTGGTAAAAGAGTTGGCGGTGGGTGGTGATGACTAGTTGCGTTCTCTCTCTAGTCTTTCACTGCTAAATTAGGGACGGCTAGCGCAGATACCCCTCGTGTAGCTTTTCGCGAAATTCAAAACAAACCAAACCTATTTCAAATTCTACAACTGTGAGCAATAGAAAACTAGTTGAACTAAATGATTTGTATTAACATGACTTAATTATTTTATAAATTTAAAAATCTAGAAATTATTTGTTTCGTGATATTATTTATTGCGTTTCCTGAGACACTTTTCGGGTGGTGTTTGTGTTCGTAGCAAGCGAGATTTTAAACGACTATTTTATATTGCTAAAGTTACTTGTCTGTCTGTGACTTTGTAATGTATGTGAGTAAGTGTTTTATGTTACTAGTACCTGTTGATGTGTGTATGTATTTAGGTATTTGATATTACTGGTATTTGTGTGTATGTATTTAGGTATTTTATGTTACTGGTACGTTTGTTTTTATATGTATTTAGGTATTTTATGTTACTGGTACGTTTGATTTTATATGTATTTAGGTATTTTATGTTACTGGTGCCTTTGTGTGTTTATGTATTTAGGTATTTTATGTTACTGGTACGTTTGTGTTTGTATGTATTTAGGTATTTGATATTACTGGTATTTGTGTGTATGTATTTAGGTATTTTATGTTACTGGTGCCTTTGTGTGTTTATGTATGTAGGTATTTTATGTTACTGTTAAGTACGTGTGTGATATTAAACCGTCTTACTTTTTTTTCCCCTCTCCACACAGTTGCTGAAAATAAGTCTGAAAATCATGTGACTGGACGTTATGTATAGAGGACGCTGCAGGCCGACTCTGTCTAAGTAACTAACGGCAGTTGTTGGGAGAAGCTCGTCTGTGGCAGAGCGTACCGCACTTCATGATAACTTCGCACGTGCCATGGACACGTGGAATCCAAAGGCACGGCCTTTTATCCTCAGGCGTCAAACGTCCGTGTTTTTTATGTCAAAGCATTATTGGCGTCAAGTCCCTGGAAAGCGAGTTTTGTCCAGAATCTGTCAGGTTAGTGTACGATAAAATATATTTTATAATCGAAGTGTTCAACGAATTAGAACAACTTCATTGTGAGATCGTTCTCACAACATTCATCTTGGTATTGGCAGACAAATGTTGTTCAGAGTGAATTTTAATAGAAACCTATGGCCATGGGCGTCCGAAGAATTTTTTCTAGGAAGGAGCAAAGTTTTCCGGAAATGGGGGGGGGGGGGCAAAGTAGTGTGAAATTGTAAACTTATGCTGAAGGAATAAAAAAAAATTATGTTTCTCACTTTCAAGGAGGGCAAGTACCCAGTGGCGTAGAAAGAGGGGGGAAAGGGGGCAGTTGACCCCGGGCGCAGGTGTGAAGGGGCGCAAAATTTCCTCTGGCCTATAATGCCTATTAATTAATAATTCTGCCCTCCCCTTGGATATAGCGCAACTGCCCTACGTTAAGTAAATACGACACAGTGTTACGTTTTTGTGTGTATTACGCTTGCGATTTTAACTTTTAAAAGCCGCCCACTGAAATACAGTGAGACCGAATTGACGTACAGAAGTAAATTACACTATTCCATCATTCATCTGTAGATCAAATACAAGTCCTAGAGTACAGCGTACAAGTAAGTGTATGTTCAACAAAAAGAAAATACGAGACTGATGTAACATATTAACTCGTGTGCAAGATTGACAATATATGCAACAGGCAAGGCCTAGATCTTGATCTAGTAAACATTATAGGCCTAATGTAGTGGTTTGTAATTGTATTGGCTGATTGTAAATCATGTCTTACACCAACTAATGTACTTTAGGTCTGATTGCAGTTATAACTTTATTTCTAGACCCTAGGTCCATCATCATACAAATTGTAGCCTATATTATAGGCACTCATAGACCTATACTAACTATTAAACTAGGCATTGCACCGGGACAGATCTAATGACTAAGTTAATAGATCTAGATATAACATTTGTTCTAAAAGTTAGGCCTAATAAATCTAACTAAAATTGATGAGGCAAGGTTATATCTAGATCTGGATAGATTCAATACAAGGTGCTTTCAATCTATGCACCCAAACCTAAGGTCTAGGTTAGATGTATAAAGTTAAGTTTCTGTCATTATTATTACATCTAGATCCAAACCTAAGACTAAAATGATGAAAATAACAGGTCTAACATTAATGTTAGATCTAGATGTACTAGCGACTTAATATTGGAACTGTAATCTAGCACCACTAATTAGTTAGCCTATATTTAAGTTTTTTCATTCTATCAAAACATTTAATATTAAATATAGCCTTTGAGCCTCTAGGCTTATATTATGTTATCATTACACCCTTCTCCATAGTATGTGTAATTTTCATTTGAGCAATTTCAGACTTGTCTCCTGTAGTGTTCGTGTAGTTAAATCTATCGAGTTTTTAAATGTGATTTAGCAACTGCCAGTAATTTATATGGTGCTCATAAGCATGATTTACCAGCATATACACTCATTTACATTGATTTTCTTGTACTTTTGCATTTTTGGAGAAATCTTTTACCATCTATCAATCGAGTGCAGAAACGTCTTCAGGACCCAAAAATTAATTTTAGAGAAGCAGCTGCTGATCTTGATTCTTTGAAAGAGAAATTGATAGAATCATGTGAAAAGTTCTGTCAAGAAGCACTTAAAGTGGGCAAGAATCAATGTGAAACATGTGGATTGACCATTGGAAGAAGAAAAATACGTCGTAAACGAATGCCAGGTGAAAATGCATCCGATGCTGGATTGACTGCTGAAAAGGAAATTTATCGCATCATGAAGGATGTTATTGATCACTTGATTACAGAAATAACAGGAAGATTTTCTCGCTTACTAGATTTAGATTCACGGTTTGGATTTCTACTAGATGTGCAAAATATTGTTTCTGGAGATTTCAAAGACGGAAAATTGCAAGAAAAATGTTCTGATTTAGCAAAGAGCTATCCAGGTGATATTGATGGAACAGAATTGTACAGAGAAGTTAAAGACTGTAGAATGTTGATAAGTAAAAGAACACAGACCGATTTTCATGAACCAATGGTTGCAACTGATTTGCTAAAATTTATAATTTCATATGGTGAAGATCTTTTCCCAAATTTAAGAATTGCATTGCAGATTTTGTTAACAATTGGGGTTTCTATTGCTAGTTGTGAAAGGTCCTTCAGCAAGCTGAAGTTAATTCTTACATACTTGAGAAACTCAATGACTCAAGAACGACTAAGTAACTTGGCAATATTAAGTATTGAAAAAGACGTACTTAGTACCTTAAATTTTGATAGTTTAATTGATGCATTTGCAGCAGCAAAAGCACGAAAGGTTCATATAATGTAACCATCAATACCAGAATGCTACCTGTACAAGATCTAGTTAAGTATATGTTCAGTTATCTATTTGTTTATTTATTTGTAGTTAAGCACAAAGCTACACAATGGGCTATCTGTGCTCTGCTCACCACGGGTATCGAAACCTGTATTCTTGGGTTGTAAGTCCGCATACATGCCGCTGTGCCACTGGGGGGGGGGCACAGTTTTGTAAACTAATAAAAATTTTTATTTGTAAACTTAAGTAGTATTTTATCAATCTGTTTTATAATCCATGTACATCACAAGTGACTGGCTTCTCATATAAAACATAAGTTTCAAAACTAGGGATATAACAGAAATTTATTCTGCATGCTTGAAAGATTACTCTAGCTATGTGACTGAACAATACTGGATGATATAAATATCAAAATGGTTTACAAATTATGTAAGTACACCTAGTAGGCTATACTTCATTAGTTCCAGGTTTACAGTTGTGATATCGTGAGATATTATATTGTGACTTTATTTTAGGCCTGTGTAAGGCGGTAATTAATTATTTGTTATTGTCATTAAGTGGGTAATGAGTCACAAAACAAATAATCAAAACATTTCAGTAGGGGCGCCAAAAGTGTCTTTGCCCCCTGGTGCTGAAAATCCTTGCTACGCCACTGCAAGTGCCCCTTCCCCCGTGCGGACGTCCATGCGTATGGCCTACGTACGAATAAACGTTACAGCAAAGAAAGAACATTTCATATTTTTGTTTGGTAAACCAAAACTCGTTATCTTAAGACCAGAAAAGAGTATATCGGCCTGAATACGGTGTTGTTGAATAATTATAATGGTCGATAAAATCAGTTTCAGTTTAATTGTTGAATTTGTAGTACGAATGATCGAGATGTTGAAATCTAAATTGGTCAACTGTGGTTGGATGGTTCAGTAATTACATTGTTTTAAATTTACTTGCTTAATAAACAGATTGCATTAAAATTAACGTTGCACATATCATGTAGACGTTACGCCAGTGCTTTATAAATATACTCATAGATTCCTTTTGTGAATGCTGTATCGTTTTGAAGTGCGCAGATAGCCCTCGTGTAGCTTTGCGCGAAATTCCAAAACAAACAAACAATCGTTTTGAAGTGACTACACATAGAAAATCGACGATTTCATTATCACGTGTAGTGTCGGGAAAACAGAATGTATAATTGTTCCGATTATTTTATGAATAACAGTTTAAATTGTTCAGAATTAAACAATACTTTAACCTGAAAGTTTCGGGCACAGTATCTATACGGAAATAGTCAAAAAAGAAAAGTGATTTGCGCTTGGCTACGAAAAGTAATAAAATGTTTTATGCCCTAAAGAAACTTAAAAACACGCAAAAATCTCATTAATGTAGTACTTTGAAATTGTCCGATATTCTTTATAAAGTAGTAGCAGTGTAGACTTGCTTAGTGATTGTTAGGATTGTGTAACAGCCTCTCAGTTCTTTGTTTCCAGAACTCAGATTGTGAAACAACCTTTCAGTTCTTTGTTTCCAGAACTCAGATTGTGTAACAGCCTCTCAGTTCTTTGTTTCCAGAACTCAGATTGTGAAACAACCTTTCAGTTCTTTGTTTCCAGAACTCAGATTGTGAAACAACCTTTCAGTTCTTTGTTTCCAGAACTCAGATTGTGAAACAACCTTTCAGTTCTTTGTTTCCAGAACTCAGATTGTGTAACAGCCTTTCAGTTCTTTGTTTCCAGAACTCAGTATCGATATCATTTACAACAATTGCGAAATATTTATTGACACTTTTTACATCCGTACAAGTATTTCATAACGTAAGTATCTTGGTCAGTAACAATAATACAAAAGTATGACGCGTACTAGATTCTACGAAAGTAATGCTACTGTTTTGCATTACATTCGAATATAAAACGTTTCGAATACGTTTGAGCGCTATAAAAATATAGCCTTTTATCATGACTGTTATAAGTGGTTCATTCCATTTGATTCAAAAATCATTGTACGTCTGGCGTAGTTAGTTTTTAACATTCTTCAGAAGCATCTCGTTCACCAGGTAGTTTTAGTTTTTAACATTCGTCTTACCTACATTGTTCACCGCCTAGTTATGGTTTCGAACAATGCTTTTCAGAAATATTGTTTGCATACGAAGCAATTACCATGTATTTATTATCATTAGAAAATAATTTGTCTCAGTCGATATCGGTGCTTCTCAACCTTTTCCAGTATCATTCATCTATGCAAGTTTTCCACAACACCTCATTCACCCCAGTTCGAAAAAAAAAGACAAAAAAGAACTAATTTAAAAAAGGAAAAATTCTTTATGATGACTTAAATATACACCAAACAAGGACTAGAATGAATACAACATAAAATAAATATATTTATCAAACTACAACTAGAATAAATAGTTAATAACTAATCACTTTTTTTGCT